TTATTATCTCTCTCTGACTGTTGCACTTGAGCCAAAGCAATTTCCAAGTCTGTGACTTCCTGTTACCTACGTGGCAATAAAAATGATTCTGATTCTGATTCTGAAAAATGAACAGCAATAGTTTCAAAAATGTCTATCTGAAGAATGAGTCATTAAACTGTAAATAAAACATGAGCCAAACAATAGATGTAGACACAGCTTTCAATTCCTTCCTCTATGATAAAAATTGTTCCAAAATTTGAAGAAAAAATACCACACAAATACCCCCTGGGTAACAAAAGGGCTTTCGAGTGCTTGCAAAAAGAAAGAAATATCTATATAGGAAATTCTTTGGAGTTAAAAAAGACTATTACACAAATTCACTAATTTGTAAAAAAGAAAAGATATTCAAGAGATTTGGAAAGTGTTGAATACCGTTATTGGTCAAAGCTCTAGCCTTAATTACCGAGAGTATTTTGTGGAGAAGGACACCATCATCAGTGATAAAAGGATAATTAGAGTGTTTTTTTGATTTTTTTTGTCAACATGGGCCCTGAACTTGCAAAAAAAATCCCATCGGACAGTGATCAGGTGAAGGGATTAATTGAAGTAAACCAAAGTTTGATGTTCCTTACTCCCACGGATAAGGAAGGATGTCCGCAGCATTATCAGTAAGAGTAATGATAAGACAGTGACGTGCGGTCAGATGAGGAATTTCCCCACTGTGGGACGAATAAAGGAACTCTTATCTTATGAGGCAGGTGAGGCCTCACCTACGATCAAAATAACAAAATGGAAACAATAATACTTCGTCACTCTATCAAATTATTTGTGCTATTGTAATATTTCAATGTTGCTTTGCCTTTTTTCATTTATCTTTACCTTGAAATTGCAGATTTTTGACATATTCTTCTCATATTTGACATATTTGGGAAGCGTAAAAGCCCAGCGTAAAAGCGCAAAAGCCTACAGTTCACAGTGGGAGAAGCCTGTGGGAGAAGCCTGTGTGGTGCTATCGAACTGTTTTCTCTGTTTATCACGGTTTACAAAGTTCAAACATATTTCCTTTACAATCTGTATGTCTACAGTTGAGAAGATGGGTTATAAATCGTCCAATTCGGCCCAGCTCCCTTCTGCCAGTTTTTCAAAATATAAAAAAAAACTATATGACAATAGACTATGTAAATAGACTATCTGTCATTTAACCCTCTGAGGTTCGGGGTCATTTTGGGGAACTTTCCTCGCCTGGTTTTCCTTGTGTATAATTGCTCATAAAACAGTCATCTTTTGATGCAGAGTCAAGCAGTATACTTTGTTTATGTCAGTACAACCTGGGGTTTTAGAATATCAATATTCATATTGTAGAGCCGTCATATCAATTTTATAAAAACTATGGAATCATGAAGACAAAGAAAAAAATGAAACTTATAATACATTCCACAAAAATGTATTGGAAAAACATAATGAAATGCTGTAAACAACTTTTTAGACTGCATAGAAATGTTATTTAGGGTCTTGGGGACAGTGGGGGAAAAAATGTAACCTGTGACTTTTTTTCACAAAAAAAGTCAAAAATGTTTACAAAATTCCACTACAAAAGCCAAAAACGCTGTACTCCTGATGCCCTTCCTGAAGCATTTTGTCTATGAGGCTTTTGTTGCTTCAGTATCACAGCTGTAAAATACGTGAAACAAAAGAAACTAAGACAAAAAAAATAAATAAAACACGGCAATTAATATATATATAAATACATTATATACACATAAAATCATTTGACTGTATTTATTATTGTCTATGTACAATAATGCGCACTCCTCTGGATCCTCTGAGCGCTGCTGCCTATTCTGCAACAAGTACACACAGAGGAGTGAGTCATCCTACTCTCTGACGATCTTTGTGTGAGTCTCCGTGTGAGTAAAAAACTTTACAATTGGCTGTTTCTGGCTCAGGGGTCAATTGTGTAACTTATGCGGCGATGTCTGGCGGGTCGTATCCAACGCTCTCGATGCAGAAGGGTTAAACTTATTATGCAATGATACGGCTTTAGAAATAGATGATCAACATCACTTGCATTAATCAACTTAATTGAAGATATAATGAATGGTATAGAAACAATTTAATTTGAAATAGGAATCTTTATTGATCTCCAGAAAGCCTTTGATGCAATTGACCACCATATTTTAATAAATAAAATGGAAAACTATGGCATAAGGGGGACAGCAAAAAAATGGTTGGAAAGTTATCTGAATGGGAGGAAACAATTGGTTCAGTTTGATCTGCACAGGTCAAGTTTTAGGTACATAACCTGTTGAGTTCCACAAGGATCAGTACTGCGACCCAAACTCTTCCGTATGTACATCAATGAAATATATAAATAAAGTTAAACAGAATGTATTCTTGGGAGTAATAATCGATGATCTGACTTGGAAACCTCACCTAACCTAACAGAAGTTACTTGAAAAGTTGCTAAGTGTGTGGGAATAATGAAGAGATCAAGTCACCTAATCAACACCAATGCTCTTATGTTATTGTATCATTCATCTATAATGTCATATGGAAGTGGAAGTGAGGGGAATTGCCACGAGTCTCATTCACAGCCTCTGATTATTTTGAAAAAGAAGGCTATAAGGGGTGATTGGGAAGAATCACTGATCTGAACCCGAGCGGTATTCAGTTTCTGTGCTAGCAACAGTATGTCCATCACAAATACCGTGTTCGAGCACAAGGGTGTCCTCCAGTACACATGGCACCAGGACACCCTAGGCCGGAGGTTGATGATCATCTTTGTTGTTGTATCATCTGACCTCCGTCCACGTGTCTCGGACACTCGGGTGAAGAGAGGGGCAGAGCTGTCAACCGATCACCACCTGGTCGTGAGGTGGGTCCGCTGGCAGGGGAGGAAGCCGGTCAGACCCAAACGTGTAGTGAAGGTCTGCTGGGAACGTCTTGCTGAGCCCCCTGTCAGACGGACTTTCAACTCGCACCTCTTCTCCCAGGTCCTGGGGGAGGAGGGGGACATTGAGTCTGAGTGGGCCGTGTTCTCCACCTCTATCGCCGATGCGGCAGCTCGTAGCTGTGGTCGCAAGATCTCTGATGCTGGTCCCGGCGGCAACCCCCGAATTTGGTGGTGGACACCGGTAGTAAGGGATTCCATCAGGCTGAAGGAGTCTCATCGAGCCATGATGGTTCGTGGCTGCTGTCCAGTATCGTTGCAGAGGCAAAAACCCGGGACTGGGAGGAGTTTGGAGAGTCAATGGAGCATGACTATTGGTCAGCCTCAAAGAGATTCTGGCAAACCGTCCGGCGCCTCAGGAGGGGGAAGCAGTGCTTTGCCAACACCGTGTACGATGCGGGTGGAGAGCTGCTGACCTCAACTGGGGATATTGTCGCGCGTTGGAAGGAATACTTCGAGGTTCTCCTCAATCCCCCCATCACGTCTTCCGTCCCGGAGGCAGAGGTTGAGGATGTTGGGGTGGATACCTCCATCCCAGCCCACTGATGGTGACCTCAGCCATCCTGGCTGAGGTCACCAAGGTGGTTGGTAGCCTCCTTGGTGGCAAGGTGCCGGTAGTGGATGAGATCCGTCCTTACTATCTAAAGTCTCTAGATGTTGTAGGACTGTCTTGGCTGACACGTCTCTGCAACATCACGTGGCGGGTGGTGCTCGGGGGCGGTACCAATGGAGTGGCAGACCGGGATGGTGGTCCCTCTCTACAAGAAGGGGGACCGGGGGGTGTGTAGAGTGATAGGGTGAGGACCTCTGTCACACGGGAGGAGCTCGGAGTAGAGCCGCTGCTTCTCCACGTCGAGAGGAACCAGTTGAGGTGGCTCGGGCATCTATTCAGGATGCCTCCTGGAGGTGTTTCGGGGGCGTCCAACTGTAACTTTAATGCTACGAAATAAAATGAAAGAATAAAACCTAGTATGTGTTTGGGTAATATTATTATCCTCAATTATAGCCTTATATAAAATGCCCCTCTGAGGTGTTTTTCATGTCTCCACGTCCTGTGTCTTTGGTCCGCGCTAGGAACATGACCACGCTACGGCGTTCGCTGAGCTATTGTCAAAGCGGTTCACAGGCCGCTGGAGGCGGGAACAGCAGTCATTACAGAGTGGCCGCAGCTGCCCTGGGTCAGAACACAGAGGCGTCTTCCCTTCTTTTATTTTATTTTGCATCACTATTGGTGTAAATAAGAACACAAAGGTATGCTGTTTTTTTATTTATTTTATTCATTCTCAACATGTCACACAACATGATGACATATTTACAGCATTAATGCATACTGTTAAAAGAAGTAGCTCTCTGCCTTTTCTGTTTTATAAAAGTATCTCTCCAATAGAAAAAGGTTGGGGACCCCTGATCTAGACTATTGGTCCTTCTAATTGTCAATCCTTCTGGTGATATCCGAGACGGATTTTAATAGGCGTTCCCTCTAAGGAGGGCGGTTCTTTCCTAAAATTTGGAAAAATACCTTTAATCATTTTTGAGTAAAAAATACAACAAAGTCTTGGTTTTGAATTGTTAGCACACAGCAGCAACACACCAGTAACATGTCTTTTACTGTATTCATATCGCAGCATAGAGACACTTTCTCTTTTCTTAAAGTGAACAACTGTTGTGCCTCTGTCATATTCATAGTAAGAGTCTCTAATCAAGAGCAATGCAGAGATGGTATGATACTCGCTGATTTGAGCATCAAACATAAATTAATATTCATTTATTGGATAAAATCTGTATAAAATCTGAGGAAATAAATGCTTAAATCAAGTGGTTTTTATAATAATTTGAGTACATTCTGAGCATCTTAAAACAATGGGACAAGCCATTTATTCTTATTTCAAGAACAGTTGCATCTAATTCTCATTCCAAGGAAAACATTTATTTTATCAGAGATCATTTTGTCCCATTGGCAAATCTTGTTTTACGGCAGTCAAAATGTGCTCAAATTAGAATACATTGTGCCGTATTTGGATTCTTGACTTATTTTTCATCACTTTTTGTTAGTATATATTTGCATCCTTTACATGACATCACAGACGGCCGAGCGCCTCTTGTTTAACACGCTGTCGGACCCGGCTCTCCACTTTCCCCTGGGCTTCTGCTGCATGCATTGGCTGTACCCCACCGCCTCCACAGAGCTCCTCTTCTGAACGCGGTGCAACAAAATCCTGTACACCCCGGTTATGGGACTCCGCAAATCCATGCTTTGGTTCAACACCTGCATTTTGGTCACTCCTACTTCCTCCAGCGCGGCTTTTACGTTCAACTCGTCCACGCTGAGAGAGAAGTTAGCGTCGTACAGGTGTGTAGGGGTGGGGTTGGTCGCTGGATATGCTTTGGGATATTCAATACCTTTCAACCATTCGCTAACCATGACTTGATGTAAACTTAGTCGATCAACTGGTATCTGTTTGATGAGCCCTTTGATTACATCTTGGCACGGTTTTGGCATGTGCGCTGGTATGCTATAGCAACCCTGTAATATGCATTTCCTCAATCGTCCGGTGTTGCTAGCTTTGAACGGCATCGTCGCGGTGACCATAAAGTACAGCAGAACACCCAGAGCCCACAGATCTGCATGCTGGCCGTTGAATGCTTTGTTTTTGAACAACTCTGGGGCAGCGTAAGGAGGGGAGCCGCAGGAGGTGTGGAGGAGGTCGGAAGGGCGGCATTCGGAGCTCAAGCCGAAATCGCCCACTTTGATGCAGTAGGTGCTGGTGTAGAAGACGTTTTCGGCCTTCAAGTCTCTATGGACGATGTTGTTGTCGTGCTGCGGAGACAGAAGAAGGACATGCCGTGAACGGGAGAGCTTCAAACTGCATGTGTGTTTGAAGAATTTTTTTCCTTTGTGTTTTGAGTTTTTTTCAGAGTTTTAAGCTGGGGTACCTCACTTTGTTGGTATCACATTTCCTGTCTTTTTTCCGCAACTTGAATTATCCTATTTATACCAAATCTGACGCATACATTTCTCCATTGTGAGATCAATTAATGTTTATCTTATCTTTTTGCTCATCATTTATAGATTGTTGGTCTTAATATAAATAGTCCTGTAAAACTCAAATTTTGGGAACAAATCAGACCACAACGTGCTGTCTTCATTTGATGAGAAAACAAGTTATTGTTTGCATATCTGTAAGAAAGACCCCCTACAAGTCACTATTTAAAGCTTTGGGCAAAGAGCTGATCATATCAAGATAATTCTCTCTTTTCCACTTTTTTGTCTAGAAAAAAATGTTCCAAAGATGTCACAGAGGCCAAAAATACATGTGTGAAAGGTAGTGATAGAAAACATGTAGACAGATTTTATTGTGTTTGAAAGTTAGGCAATCTGGGGATTTTTCCATTGAAGGTGTTAGGAATGCAGCTCTGTAACTCTCTGGTGACAACAAACCAAGAGCTGCAGTTAAATATGGAAAAACTAAAACAATTCTTTTTTATTGGTGTGTTTGCATGAATATATAAGTTTATTCTAAAACTTTTAATATATATTTATCCTATAGCATGGGCAAACGTTTAGGGCCGCATTGGAATATCAGTCTGTTTTTTTAACTTATTTTTGTTACATACAAGAATGTGTCTTGTATGACTCAACAACTTAATGTAGTCTTCTCCCAGTGTTTAAAAACTCCATGAATGGCAGCAGTAAATATATACAGGATGTTCCCACCAATTATCTATTCTATTCTGTTATTGGGAAATGTGTGAGATCCAACTGAACATACCAGTAATAACGACAACGTAATCTTGCATACATTTCACATAACTATCTGTTGGTGCATTAATGATGTATGTTATGTTCCACGATATCTTACCATGTGTTTGAGAGCAGAGACGACTTGAGAAAACACCAGCTTGCTCTCCAGGTCTGAGAGGCGCCCTCTGGTGGTGATGCGTGAGAACAGCTCTCCTCCGCTGGCGTACTCCATCACCAGGTGCAGTCTCTTGAAGGTCTCCAGGACTTCATACAAGCACACAATGTTTGGGTGGGACAGCTTCTCCATGCACGAGATCTCTGAGTCAAACAGGCCGTGTGTCTTCTTATCCAGACGAGACTTATCCAGGATCTTCACTGCCACTCTTTCTGAAGAATACAGAAGGGCAGATTATAGAATATAGTTTAGTAATATTTGTTTAGCTCAAGCGTGTCAAACTCATTTTGATCAGGGGCCAAGTTTAAAAACATAAGAGCTGGTAGGCGCCAATAGTTTAAAAGTGGTTTACTTATATTATCTCTATTTGTTTAAAATATTTTTGTATTTGACAAATCAATTTTGAAATGGACCCAGAAATAGATTATGGGATAAAAAATAGATGAATGGATGGACAAGTTTGGATATTATATTCTAGTTGGTTTGGATTCAATGTTCAATGTATTACGGAAAATAAAAGCTTTAAAATGGCGTATAGCATAATAATAATGATAATACTGTCCTAACTATAATTGAAAGTTATTTCAGGGGCAACTAAAAACAGTCTTGAGTTGGTCCTGAGTTTGACATGCCTGGTTTAGCTCAAATTCTGTTGCCTCAGTGTCAACATTCAATATCCTGTCACAGTTTACAAAATAATCCCTGCGATATGAGCAGTGAGGTAAGTGTTCATCTAATGGACTACGAGGGATTAGCAGGTCTTCAGCAGCAGCACGTGCAGCAAATCAGACTGGATTTAGTCTGATAGACCTGTCAATGACCAACGCAGTTTGAATTGTAAAACATGTGAGCTGTTAAATCTGGGGAACCTAACTTATCCTTTGAAAGAAATGTTGAATTAGAAATGGTAATGACAACAATATCCCAAAATATCACTGGTGTTTGGTAATGAGTGTCAATTATAATGAAGATGTATTTTGTTTTTCCTGTTTGTATACACCTGCAGGTTTGAAATAAATGAAATGAAATGAAATGAAATGAAAAAAGATAAATATCTGATGTGATGTATATGTAAGTTCTGACTGTATATTGAATTAAATCATTTGAGATTCTATAAAAAAATCAAAATAGAGAAAATGTAAAAAGAGTAGCTCTGTTTCATAGAAGTAGCTCTCCAATTCAAAAGGTTGGAGACCTCAGTTTTAGTGTGTTTAGTTGTATGTCAAAACATATACTGTATGTGGCTTTAATTAGACCGTTATGTGTGAATTACAGACACAAGTTACATTCACAGGTTACACAGAGTCCAGACACAAGTTACATTCTTCGTCTTACAAATATATTTCCCTCTCACCTTTGGTCACCACGTGCACGCCCAGTCGGACAGAAGAGAAGTTCCCAGTTCCAATTTCCCCTCGGAGCTCGTACAGTCCCACGCGGCGCCCGAGCATCATCTCCTCCAGGACCCTCTCGCTGTGGGTCAGCTCATTACAGGCCTGACCGAAAACCGTGGAGCTCAGGGCCTCGTTCTCCTCCCCATCCACTCCGCTGGACCGGTTCAAGGATTTGGATTTCTCCTTCAGTTTGGGAGAATTCTCACAGAAATAGTTGTCTTGACATGGAGGCGTTTTGAGATGGGCCCCTGAAGATCAGAGATTCAGGTCAAATCTAAACTAGAATTTCATTAGAGGTGTCAGTCCAAAGCGATGCGGACTGCTGTAGCTGTTGCCAGTTTTGGAAATATTTCAGTCTATTTTGACATTTGCATTTATAGGTGGAAAAAGGTTATCCAACCTTTATGACCCATGGCACAACCTTTTCCAATGAAGGTATTTGATCATTTCCAAAGGCACACCAGACAAAATCTCAAGGCCATGGCGGTATAATTATATACCGTGTTTCACAGACCAGAGTCATAAAGCGGATTACAATTGTGGGCATTTGTCTCTCACTCCGCACAGTGATGGGAACGGGGTCGCCAGTACAGGAGGTGCATGCCAGACCTATTGTACATGTTTTTACTGGTAAGGGAGAACATGTAAACTCCACTCAGAAAGGCCCTGTTCCGACCGGGATTCGAACCCAGGACCTTCTTGCTGAGAAGCAAGAGTGCTATCCAATCAGTCACCATTGGTAACTTTAAATAAACATAACAGAGCCCATACTGATCATAACACGAATAAGTTTTGATGAGCTGCAGCAATACTTTTGTATTTTTCTTTCAAATCCCATCCCAGTTCATTTGATCCGATATTATTTAAAAAAAAGTTTGAGACAGGTATTGGTCTTCCATTTGACAATTGTGGGAAATTAATCACACAGAGACGGATCGTGGCGCACCAGAGCTTCTGGAAGTTTATTATTCTTCTCTCAGGTTCCAGTTGTTTCAATTGTTTACATTTTTTCAGACAGAACAGGGTCCGGACATGGTTTTCTTATAGTCATTGTTACATCACAGATACATCACACACAGAAAGGCATACGTGTCGCATCAAGAGACAATCAGAGCATATTATAACACGAATACACAATCATAGCAGACACACAATCGGGTCATTGTGACTTATGCAAGGCCAGCTCATTTGTATCGCTATCTAATTCCCATACAATATACAAGTGAATCTCAGAAAGTTTGAATTGTGTTCAAAAGTCCATTTACTTCTTTAATTCAACTTAAAATGTTGAACCTGATAGATGTTGATTGTTAATGATTGTTAAACGGATTATGGTTTACAGTCCATTTTTAAGTATTCTTAGACGTTTCATTTGGGGTTTTTACAAGCTGTGAGCCTATTATAACCATGAAAGGCAAGACATGTCTCACTTTGTCTGTTTTTTTAGTTACATATTGTAAGAATAGCAGAAGTAAATTGACTTTTGTACATAACGCAAATTTCCCAAGTTTCCCCTGTACATGCTGTCTAATAAATCCCTAAACATAATGAAATTAAAACATATATTTATTGAAAGTGGTTAAATACTCACATGTTTTCCCCCTGATGGTTTTCTTTTGCTTTTCGGTGTTAATTGCATTATGTCTGCTTTTTAAATACATGATTCCTGCGTATTTCGTTCTTTCCAAAACTATTTTAAATCCCAAAAATGTCCATAAAACTCTTGTAAAGTTGTTGCATGGATGCGTCTGGCTCCAGATGTGAAGTGGCTCTCCTTTGCTCTGGTCTCAGCTCTGGGATAATCCTGACGCCGGACTCCTTCCTGCAACAACAGATTAGGATCATGCTTCAGACACTCCACGTGTGATCACAAAAGGGTCAGTGGGCTTAACCGCGAAAGTGTGTTATGAGACAGACCCAAATACGCAAAAGTAAGGCTGCGTTTTAATTGGATTCTTTTGCTTCACTTTTGGTCACGCAAGTATAGTTTTGCATACATATAGTTTTGCATACATTTATCAGAATAAGAATTTTGTTTTGTGTTGTAAGGAATGCATTAAAAACCAATCTTTGCAACATTTCTTAAAGATACAACTTCATACGAGTGCAATTAACAAGTACACCCAACAGACATCTATGATTGTATTATCAATAAACGGTTAATGATCAGATTTTTGTTGTTGTTGTTGTTATGTTGTGAAGTTTTCAGTTTCAGCAAAAGGTTTATATAAGTTACATAGTAGTAGTAAATGACATCTGATACATCACGTTTTTTTTTCTTCATTCATATATATACACACATTTATACGTACATATACTGTATATTCAGGACTATAAGCTTCTACTATAAGCATCTACTTTCTTCTAGTTCTTTGGACCCTATACGTTTTTTTTGCCAAAAAATAGAAAAATAATTACTGTGACATTAATAATTAAAACTAGAAACTTGCAATGGCTGAAGCCATTGCGATTGACTGCGGAACAGATCTAATGTGGAATTTAGCTGAAAAGTCCTTGAAACTGTTAAAATACTTTAAACATCTTTGAAACTCCTGAAGTATTTGAAGCTCCTGATATCCTTTAAACTGTTATCCTTTATACTGGTTTACATGTAAAAACCCCTATTAAGTTGCATTATACTGGTTTACATGGAAAAATCCCCATTAAGTTGCATTATACTGGTTTACATGTAAAAAACCCTATTAAGTTGCATTATACTGGTTTACATGGAAAAATCCCTATTAAGTTGCATTATACTGGTTTACATGTAAAAATCCCTATTAACTTGCATTATACTGGTTTACATGTAAAAACCCCTATTAAGTTCCATTATACTGGTTTACATGTAAAAACCCCTATTAAGTTCCATTATACTGGTTTACATGTAAAAAACCCTATTAAGTTCCATTATACTGGTTTACATGTAAAAAACCCTATTAAGTTCCATTATACTGGTTTACATGTAAAAAAAACCCTATTAAGTTGCATTATACTGGTTTACATGGAAAAATCCCCATTAAGTTGCATTATACTGGTTTACATGAAAAAAACCCTATTAAGTTGCATTATACTGGTTTACATGGAAAAATCCCTATTAAGTTGCATTATACTGGTTTACATGGAAAAATCCCTATTAAGTTGCATTATACTGGTTTACATGGAAAAAACCCTATTAAGTTGCATTATACTGGTTTACATGTAAAAACCCCTATTAAGTTGCATTATACTGGTTTACATGGAAAAATCCCCATTAAGTTGCATTATACTGGTTTACATGTAAAAACCCCTATTAAGTTGCATTATACTGGTTTACATGGAAAAAACCCCTATTAAGTTGCATTATACTGGTTTACATGAAAAAACCCTATTAAGTTGCATTATACTGGTTTACATGGAAAAATCCCTATTAAGTTGCATTATACTGGTTTACATGGAAAAATCCCTATTAGGTTGCATGATTACACTGAAGTCCTTGAAACTGCTGAAGTCCTTGAAACTGCTGAAGTCCTTGAAACTGCTGAAGTCCTTGAAACTGTTGAAGTCCTTGAAACTCTTGAAATCTTGAAACTGCTGAAATCCTTGAAACTGTTGAATCCTTGAAACTGTTGAATCATTGAAACTGTAGAAATGTCTGAAAGAGCTGAAGTCCTATTAAAATGCATGGGCCTATTAAAATGCATTGCAGAATTCTCAATGCAGATTTTTGTCCGATTGCGGAAAAACCGGAAATCGCTGAAGTCCCAAAAGTAATAGCAATAATCTCCCAAACATGTGGAACGTTTTGATGTATAACTTGTGGAAATTGTTGAAAATGTGAAAGCTGTGAAACGTGTCAAAAAAAATGACGGAATAAAGAAATACAAAACCAATGGTTGACTGCGGAAGGTTCCGCAGTCAATCAATAATCCATTCACCATTATCCCTGCGCCTCCTCCACTCCACTGACAGATTGTATCCAGACTGATTTTAATGTATTGTGTCTATTTACATTTTATTTCGGTATGATTTGAATGTTTCAGCTTTGAGTTGCCTTGTGTTAGATCCTTTTCTATACAAAGAAACATACCTTCCCTAAACGTATTATAAATTGCAATATTTTTTATCGTGAGATGTTGTTATTATATGATACAAGCACGAGAGATTTCATTCCAGGGATCAGTTGTTCAGGTCACGGCGATGTCGTTCATAATTACAGTATCAATGGTGTTTGGTGTCTTTGTTGTGACACACATTGTCATGATAAAGAGGTCTGTCGTTTAGTACTCTGTATAATAAACTAAAAAACTGAAAACCTGTCAGATGTCAGGAATAACCCAGACAGAGACGGATCGTGGTGCGCCAAACTCTGGAAGTTTATTTAAATTTCTCTCAAGTTCCAGTGGTTTCCATTGTTTCTTTCTCTCAGACAGAATAAAGGCAGTACACAGTTTATATAGTCATTGTCACGTCACACATGGAAAGACATACGTGTCACACAGAGACAGTCACATCATAGTCAAAATAATCAGAGTCCTTGTACAGTCCTGCACGTAGGCCATATTGCTATCTAATACTAACACTGACTATGATAAAACTTCCAGCCTCAGTCTTATTTTTGACAGGTTTTATTTTTCTGTATTAATTGAGTAAAAATTCAAAATGTATTGAAAAGATGCAATGCCATGCTGTTTTAGTTCAAACCTCCATTTAGAGCTGATCCTCTATAAATACAAATGTAAATATACAGTTGTCGTAGATAAATTACACAGAGACGGGATCGTGGCACACCAGAGCTCCTGGAAGTTTATTCAGTTTCCTACAGGTTCCAGTTGTTTCAGTTTTTTTCAGACAGAACAAAGTCAGGACATGGTTACATCACAGACACGTCACACATAGAAATACGTGTCGCATCAAGAGACAATTTATGCATCAAGAGTCATAACATGGATACACAATGGGACCTTGTGACTGTGAGGGCCAGATATTTGGTCTTGCGTTTGTGGACCTGCGTAGGCCATAGCTGTCTATCCACCATACAGTAATTACCGGACTATAAGCCACTTTTAGACTACTTTGAACCCTGTACCTTGTGATAGTTGTCCGTTGAGTAGTGTTGAGCGAGAACTGCTATTCAACACAAGGTGAAACTGTGTGAGATTTCATAACACTTTTAAGCAACTTTTGTTAAAGTTAAACTCATCATTCTTACATGTGCAGAAGCCTGTACTTTTCCACTACTTGTTTTGACTATCTCTGCTGGCACTGTGGAAGCTGCTGATTGGAGGTCTCCATGCCTCCGCTCTGTATAATACACTTGCATTCTGTTGTATCTGTGTTCGTGTGTTTTGTTTGTGCTGTCTCTACCATTGACAATAAAACATGTCTTCTGTCTGAATGAAAGACGCGATCCCAGACTTTGTCATCTTCTTCAACTGTAAAATATTGCTTATGCATATCTATGTATATATGTGCATCTGTGTATACTGTATGAACAGTAGGAATAAAGGGATGTCACTATTATGATAAAATCAATGGAATGAAACCAACACATCCAAATTGTGATATCAAAAAATCCGATGGTAATCCTTCAACAAGATAGTACATTTTCCAGAGAGATGGTTCATTAAAATGTTGATGCACGTATTTCGTTCAATTAAATGTTTTTAGATAAATTAAATGAAAGTGTTGTGTTTATTATGATCTTTTAAACAACATAAATACACGTTGAATATGAAACACCAAAACAAAATATTACTATATTTTAAGTGCAAGTGATGTCATACAGGCTTTCACAGGCAAGTCGCTTCAACCTTATTGGTTGTAATAAAGACCGTTAATGTAATGTATGTCAATAATGAAATGATCAACCAAAATAAAATAAAATCCAAAAGTGACAAAAAACCACAAAAAGTAATCTAGACTATTTTAATGTCTGAAATGATATGTCTTTCCATTCAGAAATCCAGAGCCACTTCACTTCACTGCCTGTCTTAAACCAACATACACCCGTTTTTACACATTTACAGAATGAGTTCAATGCCCTCCCACTGCGGTGTCTTGATGTTCTGCGTGTCCAGGTCCCACACTGATGTCAAAGAACTCTCCAGCAACCTGTAACTGGCACGTCCAGCGTACAGTAACGATAGCCTACATAATGTCTGTCTGATCAGGGCCGTATAATGAGTCCAGTGAAGTGCATGAGGGTGTCTGGTGCACTGGAGGAGACGTCTGCTGACCCAGACAGGCCTGAGACAGACTCAGAGGCTAGACTCAGTGTCTGTGCCACACCTGCCCCACTGAGCGGGAGCATGTCATTCATATAAGCTGCAAACTCTAATACCGAGATTAGCATAGTCAGAAGGACACGTGCTGCAGACCGGTATTGTATAGCACAATTCATACACAAGGCAATTTAAAAGTGCTGAACAACACTTTTTAGTGATAGACTCCATCGAAAAAAATTATCCAAATATTTGTTTTATTTCTTTGTATTCTATATCAAGTCTGAGTTGGAGTATACTAATATACACAACCACTGCAGAGGCATCAGAATTAGATTTTTTTTATCGCCATTGTGAGTAGCAGGAAACAAACTAGGAATTTGCTTACAGACATAGAAACAGAAATAAAATAAAAATCTTCATGACATTTCTTAAAATTACTACTATTAAAAAGTTGCTCCTCTCTTGCGTTAACCTGTAATGCTCCCGTAATTCAGAATATTGTTCAAAAGTCCAATCACCTCTGTTATTCAACTCACAATGTGGAACTTGTAAATGCAGTCGGATACATGAATAAACAAGTATGTGTTATAATGTTGATAATTGGCTCAAAACTTTAAAATCCAAACCAAAGAAATGGTTGAGAAATGAAGACAGAGACAGAAGCAGCGATCACACGAGTAACTGTAATTTTTGAGTTCTTCCAGATCGAACAAAAGAAGACAAAGCTTCACTGAGATATTAATGTTGCTCCAGATATAGATACTAGTAACAATGTGGGTCAGAATAATGTTTAGCAGTAAATAACAGGGGTCTACAGGACAGACATATAGACCATGTTGTAGGTCTATATCATATATCAGTTTCACATTGTAAGTTGAATTACAGAAATAAATGCAATTTTGAACAATATTCCCATTTTTTCACGTTCACCTTTAGATGGTGAAACTGAAATAATAGAATTGACAGGAGAAACTAATAAGGTATGAGCACTGTCATCAGTTTCACTAATAGTCATTAACGGTCATCAGCACCGTTTCCATAATAAAATTACTCATTACTAATTACTAATATTGAGGAGATTTCACATTTGTTGTGGTTAAATGAAAAGGTTAGGGATCAGTGATAGAAACTGAGGTCACACCTCAACAGAGGAGTGCTGAGAGGCTGACGACCCTCTGAACAATGATCCAGAGAACATGGGGATCACATTTACACTTCAGACACAAAGGCAAATGAGCAAACAAGTAATAAACAACTTTTGTATGTTCTATCCTTCAACATGATGCCTTTGAATGGCCTTTTTCAGTCTATAAAGGGCAGGACTAACCCAAACTAAATAGAGAATTACCCAAAGAAGGAACATTCAGCTCCAGGTTAGGGAGACTACTCATGAGAAACCCTACACAGGTTAAATATGTAATACTTTTAAACATTATTACTGTGTTTTAAATGTTTTGTATTGAATTATTGCAGCTAATTTAAGTAAGAGCTGGATCTTGGAGAGTCCCAGCCTTTTGTCCCCATGTTGAATAAACACAGAGGTGCTACTCTTCTCTCCCACACTGCCTTGTTATTGTTGTCTTGTTTTAGTGGAGGTGCTAAACACTTTCCCCCTGAGATAAAAGATGATTAATGCTGAGAATGTGACACTTTAATGGCCCCAAGCTTCAGTCACTGAGCCACAGGCCACAGCTCAAAGCTCAGAGCCTTTGAAGTGCTGTCTCCTCGTACTAGTATTCAACATGGAAATTTGATTATCCTCCTCACCACTTTCAGAGACATCAAGCCTGAAGCTGATCCCATATAAATATCTGCATCCTGAGAGAAGCACAGTCTCCGGTCAGGACTAAAGCAGGTCTTTACAGCATGGACCCAGTGTGGATGTGTCTGCTCCTGTCTGCTCTCCATCTCTCCTGTAAGTACTGCTGTTTGTTCTGCTGTGGTCTGGGCTCTACTCAGCGGCTGTAGAGAATGTGTTTACAGAGGCCTGCATCCTGCTACTGTGGCCCGAGCTGATGTTAGTCCTTTATTTTTAGACTAACATCTTTCTGAATAATATCTCCAATGCTGAAAAATCTAATATGTTTGTTAGTTTAGTTAATGTATAACAAAGTATTTATTTTGGGCGTTTGTAACCTTTAGTTGTGCTGTATCTGTACTCACAGTTGTGTGTTGATACAAGGTCTTGTGTCTTCCAGTGCCTGGAGTGTGGAGCAAATACATTGATCACAGAAACCTGTTCACACAGAGAATCTGCTGCAAAAGACAGAGCCACTTTGTTTACATTGGTCAAGGTAATTCCCCAGTTTATCTGAAAAGTCTCCTTAGATCAAAAGTCCAAAAGTAAATCCTGCAAGTGCATTCTGCTTCCACTTTTTCTAATATTACATATTCGTCAGGATTAATGTTGTGTATGTGTGTCGTGTGTGTGCTTGTGTGTGTGTGTGTGTCAGACATCTCTGGAGCTCCAGTGAACGTGGACGTGGGCATGTGCAGGCCGCACTGTGGAGGGGCGTCCCGGGCTGTCCATGACGCAGCGCAGAGGGACTTCTCCAAACACCCGTCTATGCTCGACTTCATCAGGAGCAAAAAGGTCAGGACTGGTAATACACGCTGCCACCACACGAGGGCGAGCTAGCGCTTTAGTCTCATCCGTGTTCACATAGATGGGAACTGTTCATTTGCATGGACGCTGAAACGATGTTGACATCGTCGGGCATCGTTTACTGTAGCCTTGCGAGTTTTATTCAACCTTTCACAGAATGACAGAAGAGCGGGGGAGTGAAGTAAACTGGCAAATGTGTCAGACTACTAAAGTGAAAGCACTTTAGGCCTGTCTCTGCCATAGGTCTCTGGGTCTGTGCAGGTCTGTCTGCTGCCCTTTGTCACTACATAGAGGCTTGTTTAAGTAAAGATAATCTTATTAACACACATATCTTTAACTGTTCTGCTGAGTTGTAAACATAGACTATGTTGTAAACTCACATTATGCATGACTCTGGTGTGTTGCCTTCAGCAGAGAACGCACGCGGCCTCTCCACACGCACACGCACAAGAGCAGAAGCGGCTGCCGTCCTGCGGGCTGGAGCAGGTGTGCGAGCCCACCGGGATGCGAGTGCAGAGGGTGCTGCTGTTCGAGGGCCCCCGGGAGGTGGAGGTGATCGAGGACTGTCACTGTGAGCTCAGACTCACGCAGTGCATCCGCGTGCCCGCGCTCAAGACCTACTACGCACAGACGCCCTATGAGGCTGTTATTGACGTGGGAGGGTGCTCCAGGTCCAAGGGAGCGCCAGGTGAGCCCCATCAGTAATGAAAACTATAGACGTAAGATAAACACGTGTCAATGTTGATACGGAGTGTTATTACCAGGAGACTCCCATCTCACCGGCCAGCCACATACTGACCTTATTTGTATAGCACATTTACAGCAACACCAGCTGCCCAATGTGCTTCACATGCTCAAGAACGTTATGTAGTCTATGCATTTTAAGGGCAAAAAACCCCTGAAGCTACATACTAATCCTGTGCTTGTTATTATGGTATTATTTGGATTCGTATTCCTCCCTCACTGACGTGGGTAATGACAAACTCAGTCGTAACATAATTGCACAAAAAGTATTTTCCCTTAGTCTGGGTATAAGCGTTCATCTTTCATATAACTGGGCTTTTATTGAGGACATGTGTGAGTTCATGCTAATGACATTGAGAATACAACTCAAAACTACACAGTGCACATAATAAGTCAAATGAAACAGCAAGTACATGTACTCACATTTACATACTGTAATTTTTCAAATTTTATATTCATGATCAAACATTTCAAGACATATTTTTTACAAAAAGCCAATGACAAATTTGAGGCGAATTTCAATCAACTTTTTTCATATTGCAGATTTATATGAATGGTTTCTTTACACTAACCGTGCTATGGATTTTTTAAAACTAACACTACCTTCTCTTGATGTGCAGAGGGCTTCTCGTGCGTTCCAACTCAGTTCGACTCGGCGCTGGTGGAGACTCCAAACAAAGTGGAGCTGATCCAGACGGTGGAGGCCTGTGAGCTGAAGGAGAGCTGCTACAGAGTTTCTCATGTGGAATATTACTACGAGATCGTGCAGCACAACGATGGAGTCAAAGAGGAGCAGCTCAAGGTGCGCCCACACACACACGGACACTTCATATTTCTATACAACTTTCTGTTGAGTTTGGGTGAGTTTCTGATCAGCGATCACTTAGCATTCAGGTGGATTGAATAAGGACTTTCACACCTGCTTTTGTGGAGCCAGAGGAAGTGAGCTCAGCTGGAGGCAGAGCGTAATGAAGTGTCTTTATTCATCGCACACTTTTGTGGAAGACACCACTTAATCACAGCATTCGTCTGGGGCCGCACAGACTGGCCCGGCCTTTGTGTTCGTGAGCCCCAATATACATGCACCGAGGAACCCCTGGAGAATGCTAACACAGGTCTTCTGTAGGAGGCATATGAACAGAGGGGCAGAGTCAATCCCAAAGACACAATCCCAAACTATTATTATATGACTTAGCTCTGAACAGAAAAGAGAATATGGTGAATACTGTGCTGTAACAACACACATTGTAAAACACGCACAAGGGAAGTGTAGAACTTATATCTGTGTCTGAGGTCACACATCCTGTTTTGATCTGTCTTATGTAGTGTTGCCAAAAGACTCAAACGTGAGATATTCATCGATACTATGCTCGTTTGAGGATGTATCGATGCTGAGCAGTTTTCAAATCAGAAGTATCTGAGTCAGAATTATTTGTATTGTCATTGTAAGAAACAGGAAGTCACAACATACATCAGTAAAAATAGATATAAAGGCATGCATAAACAAAGAGTGCACACGCGGTACACAGACATGTAACTGCAGGTTAGAGCCAACGTTGTGGTGCCATGAGATACTGTGATATTATTCATGTTAAAGTTGGAGGCTCAGTGACAATTCAATGCTATGTATTTTGTATGGCCCTAAAAACACAACAGCAGTTTTCTGGGAATTCACAAAGTTGTCAATTCGGGCGTTCTGCTCTCCCAAAATTCCATCCGATGGGCGGGGGAGCGACTGAATTTTGCGTTGCATTATGGGTAACACTTGCCTTTGCAACTTCCGGTTCTCTCTGCCCGGCGCATTTTCTCTAAATGGTTAAGTGTTTTCGTCATTTTCTGTATGCAAATACATTCCCGTCTCTAACTAGTGGCATATCGCGCAAATCATCCGTCCAATTCACATTCTTCCCTCTTAGCTGAACTTCATTCTCATTGTTACCATCTGTCACTCGCACACACAGCCGTTTTCGTTCACTCTGCTCGCTGTCATCTTCTTCTAAATCTTCATAAACACCATCCGCTCGTTGAACTAGCAACAACAATTCCTCCTTTTGTTTTCCCACACTGCAAATACCCTTTCGCTTCAACCTTTCACGCAATTCAGGCACTGTCAATCGTTTGTTGTTTTCGTGAGCCATATTCGCCATTGTATGAAATCAACCGGAAGTGAACTGGGCAACAAACGGTGTCATTTTTTGATCACAGCGCCGCTCAGTGGATGAAATTTTGGGAGAGCAGAACGCCCGAATTCTAGCCTGGCTCCAGCCGACCTTTAGCCCCGCCTCCATGGAGTTTCTGCGGGCAGGTCGGTCTGGCATTCCTCAATGGAAAAAGTATTATGCCCGGTACGATACATACCGGGCCAGTCAGAGTGACAGGGCGGGCTTCATGTGATGGTTGACAGGTGAGCAACAGTAACGTCAGCATCTATTCATTTTGAAATGAATAGATGTCTGTCTATTCATCTTGAAATATGAACAGAGAAACGCTATCAAGGCATTTGTGAGTGGAAAAGATGTCCTAGCCGTGCTCCCGACGGGATTTGGTAAAAGTTTGCACTCATTTTACAGGCAGCATGCGAGAAGGTAAACAATAATAACGTCGCATAAATACGTCACACCTCGCTCTCATTGGTTGTTGGACTATCCAATAGTACGAAGGGGGATTGTGTTTCCTGTTTCAGTTCGAACACGCCCCCCATAATACTTTTTCCATTGAGGAATGCCAGACCGACCTGCCCGCAGAAACTCCATGGAGGCGGGGCTAAAGGTCGGCTGGAGCCAGGCTACCCGAATTCCTCAACAGCAGTTAAAATACAGGAAGTACAATCATAACAAACTCTTTGGAGCTATTTGTCCCTAGTGAGTGGAATGACCAATGTCCATATATGTTTTGCTCTTACTTTTTGAATAATCATTGTGCTATTGCAATTGGAATTGAGTCTTGAGTTTTTAATGTTACTATCGTGACACACTAGTCTTCTGTAATATTCATATTTTTGAAGACATTTAATTTTAGGTATACATAATATGTCAACCATAATCATTAAAATGGCAATTAATAAATACTTAAAATATTGAAAACATTTAGTTTAACTTTCTGGTTGAAAATATACATATTTACATCCAATATTTACATGTTGTACTATAAGATGAAAATAAGTGGAAGCTGCAGAAGTCTGCAGATGTCTGCAGCAGCTGCTTGCTCCACACAGGGTCAATATTTGTCACCCGCTGAGCTCATGGCACTTTCTCTGTTTTGCAAATGTTTCAGGAAATAGACGTGGGCAGATGTCTGGGAGGCTGCACCACAGGAAACCGCTGTCTTCTCAGGTCTGTAACAGAAGCACCACCTCCAAGTCTCATGACAATTACCCGCTGTTCTCCACACCCCAGCAGTGTATTGATCTTACCGAGCAAATGGTCTTTTATATGGCCCCTTACACTTCTTACACAAACACAGCTTTAACATGGGGCCACATGTCAAAGTTGATTTTATTTGTGTATTATCCTTCTCATTTACTTTAATATGGGCCAAACACTCATGGATCTCTTATAACACCTTTTTAACCACTGTGGTTAAAGCTGAATTTATCATTGGGCCAATATGCACAAACCAGTGAATTTCTACTTGGTTTTCTGAAGGCCAAAGCTGCTGATTGGAGCGTCTACAATTTCTCCATGCAAGCTGCAAAACTCTATTTGTGTGAAGAAGATGGCAAAGTCTGGGGATGGTGTCTTTAATTCAGACAGAAGACATGATTTATTGTCAAAAAAAAGTTGTGGAAAAGTACTGCCTTGAGCATATTGTTAGAATGCTGAGTTAGAACTTTAACCACAGCTACTTCAAAGTGTCATGAAATCGTCTTTGTAACATCAATAATCATCAATAATAAATCCCAGACCGATCCGCATCTCATTTTCAACAGACTGTAGGAAATTTCACCGAGATCATGAATTAAATATGTTTGTTTTTCCCTGTCACAGAAGTCCATCTGACCCAGCGATCTGTCACTTATGGGCCGAGCGACAGTCCAGCTCCTGTGTGCCACAGGGATATGAAAGCCACAGCTTCACAAACCAGTACGGACAGATGCGCACAGTGCACTCCATCAGCTCCTGTCTGTGTCAGGAGTGAACAATCCACTGGAGAAGTGCTCAGCAACAATCCACCGGAGATGTACTCTCCAACTATCCACTGGAAAAGTGCAAGCCTGACCAGCCAGAACCACAGTTTTATAATACATGAGGGTCTGGATGCTTGCTCTGAGCTGAGACGTGTTTGGCTGCATTTGATTGGACAGAAAGCAGGAAGTGGCTGCAGAAAAGTGAAACATGTTTTGTAGAATATGTAAACAACAAACAGAAGAGTGCACATGTGAGTAGTATTAACTTATTCAAATCAACCAAGCAACATGTGGCAGCCCCATCTTGGATTGTAAGTGAAAGGCTGCATCCAAATTCAGCAGCAATACCTCCTTGTACTACCTTGGACTTGAAAAGTGACCTTTTATTGGACGGGCAGCTCCAGGTTTGATCAAGTGACATTTCACTCAGTTTAAAGGTGCTTTTACTGACACTCGTTGGTCCTTCTTCAAGCTAAAAAGTGTCACTTTGGAGGAACTAATTATTACTAAATCCTTTGGATGCAGAGTGCTCTGGAAACAGATGCACCCGCTCTCAGGCCCTACATCTCATCACAAATGTCTGGCTGGTTAGGCAAGAGAGGAAACAATCCACTGGAGAAGTGCTCTCCATCAGCGCCTGTCTGCACCAGCACAGAGCCATTCACTGGAAAAGTACAAAGACTGTGACTGTGTCCCTTCACTCGTTCTAAAACTAAATTACTATTGTATTATATGTAATATATGTAGAAAATAATAATATTTTGTAAATAAATACTCACGTTACTCCTGGTTTTATTTTATATGTGTGAACTCTTGAAATCAACAATCATGATATAAACACAGTACAAAACTCACGAGCAAAGTTGTGCCAGATCTTTAAACATTACGCATGGCAACATTTGTAAGCCAAAATAAATGATTATATCGTACATTTAATCATGCATCACGTAAGAAAGTATTGGAACAACTGAACTGGTGCTTCCTTTATTTGAAAACACAAACACACCATTGGTATATTGAGTTTGAGACACACAATCACACACCGAGCAGTGCAGTGTCGCACCCGTGACCACACGAGACAATAAAGGCTTTGGTGAAAACATGGCATCAATACCTTCAACTTACATCAATGTTGTCGATATTTATAATATAATAAAATACATGCAGAATTGTGAAGTTTGCATATTCAGGATCCATCTATTTAAAAAGTAAGACAATGTATTTAGTTTTTGTGCATCATTCTTTTGATCACAGAATAGTTTGTGTTTTAAGAAGTTACTCATATGTTTAGACACATGTCCAGTTTATTGTGTACAAGGTAAAGATTAAGAGATTGTTTAAATGTACCAGAGTGAGGAAATTTCAGTTACAGAACAGCAGGATTTAGTGAGAACACAACACAACATACAAGAATATAAAGAAAACCCCAAATCTTTACTTTAAAAAAATTCAATAAAATCTTTAGCTTAATGAAGAAGCATTAAAGTATTAAAAGTATACACATCTGAGGTATAAACTTGTATACAATATGTTATACTTGTATGTATGGGCCTGTAAATATGTCTGTAATACTATAATGAAGTAATGAGATAATACTAACAGATGTACACACCAGTGGTATCATTTGCATGCATTCATTGATTCAATACTCAGCAAGTGCAAAGATTAAAGATCAGGTGTGTAAAATTCTCTCTTTGAAAAGTCTCGCGCAGACGTGACGTTTGCGTACATCTTTATTTATGATCCTTTGAAATAGACGCGCGCGTGGTTCAGGTCTTGGGATGAAGGTGCGAACCAACAAAGCTGTGTTTCTTCTGTCCTCTGAACCTCAGAAACTCCAGTCCGTCTTTATGGCCCACAACAAACTCACTTTGATCCATGAAGTGACGGAATCTATATTTACTTTCAGTGTGTATTTCGCGGGTGCGTAATGGTGCGTCAATATCAATGCAATGTAATGCTAGTTTCAGCAGGTTCAGAACAGGTCATACACAAGGGAAGTGAAAGTGCTTAACGAAAAACAAAAATAAATATTAACATAATACAAGGCATTCAATGATAAATAATCACAGGACATAAAAGAGAGAGAAAATCCTTCAGTTGTATTCGCAGCTAAATAGACTATTTTTAACCTGGAGTTGAACAAGAATGGAAGCCTGTCTCACATTTTCAGGAAGAATTTTCCAGATTTTAGCTCTGACTCTGGGCACCAGCAGGAGCCAAGTCCCTGTGCTCCTCAGAATCCGAGTTAGTTCATATGACACTAACATACAACGGAGAAAGTCACATTGTGTAATAATGTTCATTGCTATGTTTAAAGCGCACTTTCGTTTGTGCATAATATAAAAAAATATGATCTGTTTCAGCGACTCACCAAAGTCAGCTTTGTGCGCGGGTCTGAGAGGATCTGGGCAAAACCCAAATCTAGATTTGAGGATTATCCTACTGTAATTGCAAAGACATAGTGCAAATCTGTAAGTGTAGATAATGACACCAGACTGTTCTTCTGCGTAATGGGTTTTCACCTTAGCCTCTGTTTCCATTATTTTAATGTAATTGATTACTTGAGAGCCCTTTAACCTCCCACTGTGCTCCACTTCCTCAGCAGAGATGCAGCTGGGGCTGAGGCCTTCAACCACAGGCCGTTTGGAAGAGTTTCACATTATTTCCACAAAAGATGTTTGTGGAAGTTCGTCTTCAGATTTACGAGTACACGTTTCTCTGCACATCTGAGTTCAGTTGATTGGAAGCATCCTTTCCAGACGCGCGGAACAATAGTTTGAGTGCACGGAGTTCACACCTTGTTCACACCGACATTAGCAACCTTTACATTCGCTGATTGCTGATTTACATTTGCGACAAAGTAGCATCTTTACTGCTGTTTGCAGAAGGCTCTGGGGCCATTGAGGACGCACCGACCCCGCTTGATATAAAGTGGAAGATCCCGAATCTTCAGTCACTCAGCTTTAAGCAGCAGACCAAAGACCAGCAACGGGACCAGCACCAGGACCAGCACCAGGACCAGCACCCAACCCGCGGATATGTTTCTCTGGTTCATCTTCGCTTCTTTGCTGTGCTCTGCCTCAGCACGACCCTCCACACAGACTCTGGAAACCCCATTCAGCGACGAGAATGACACCGAGGACCCGGCTGAAGTCAGATCCGCTGCGATCAAACGCCTTCTGGAGGTGTTTGGCATGGACGACCCTCCATCCATCCACGGACACAAGCAGGCGCCTCAGTACATGCTGGACCTGTACAACACTGTGGCAGATGTGGACGGAGTGACCAAAGACCCCAACCTCCTGGAGGGCAATACAGTCCGCAGCTTCTTTGACAAATGTAAGTGTGGCAAGAAGACACCAGCGGCATCTGAAGGGCTTATTTGGAAATAGTTTTTAATGAGGTTTTGTCTTGTTGCAGTGCGCAGCGAGCAGGTGGAGTTCAGCTTCAACTTGTCCACAGTGTCCAGAGAGGAGAAGATCCTGACTGCAGAGCTGCATCTGTTCAAACTGCGGCCTCAAGCCTCTCTTACCTTCAACAGACACCACTTCTGCCAGGTATTTACTATAGTATTAGTATTAGTAGCACTTATTGTGTTTAAATTTCATTGATACATTTTTGCACCAGATGTTCTGACCTGCAACAAGTAGGGATGCACAAATTAGGTTCATCCAAAAATCACAATTATCAGGTGGACAAAATAACCAGGAATCTAAAGAAATAACTGTGACAATTAAGTAGAAAAAACAACGCATTTTCCATTTAATCCAATGTTTTCCATTGTTTGTTTAAAACATGTGTCTATAACTATTAGGTTTAGTGGCTTACTGTGTTTTATTCAATTCAATATTTTAAAGCCCTGAATCAGAAAGGTAGTTGTCTCAGAGGACTTGATGATTACTCAACACCAAATCAGAGAATCAAACAGTTGGAACACATGATGCAATAATAACAAAGCCATTGGTGCATAGGAAGCGGAATGACCAATGTCCATAAATGTCCTTAAATGCCTCGGATCATAACTAAACAATTTATTGTACAACATCCCTGTCAAATAAATACATACAAATAAATCATTTTGCATTCATATTTTCCGCACAATAACACAACAAATGTCAATATCATCATATCTTTTTTTTAACTTTTCAGGTCAGTGTCTATCAAGTGCTCGACACCAGCAAAAGCAACAGCACGCAGGACAAAAAACTTCTCTCTTCTCGCCTCATCCCTGTGCATTCCGCCGGATGGGAAGTGTTCACCATCTCCCAAGCGGTAAGTTCAAGTCCTATCTTTATCAACCAATTCAATACAATTCAATTCAATTTCTTCTTGAATAGCCCAGATGACCAATGTCCATCAATGTTAATAAATAGTGAGGGGTTAGGATGTATAAACGTATTAAAATGTTGAATGTGGTACAGGTGCGCTCCTGGATGATGGATGAAGACTCTCACTTGGGTCTGCACGTGGTGGTCCGCACGCTGGGGGGCAGTTCTATGGACATGAAGCTGATGCGGTTCGCTTCAGGAAGAAACCATCACCAAAGCAAGCAGCCGATGCTAGTGCTGTTCACCGACGACGGCCGCAGATCCACCAGCCTGGAGAGCAGAGGTAAGCGTTCTTCTGATTTAGCTCATTTTTTGTTTGCGTAATATGTCTAGTTTGCACCGGAATGTGTGGCATTTTTGACCAAATTTTTGCGTGCGTTTAAAGCTGGGGTACCTAACTTTACAACCACAAAAATTTAAAGAAATCCATCTAAGTTCCTTGCTCTCAAAAACAATTCTATCACTAGTTTTCATATGCCTTTACTTTTTTTGGCCTCTGTCATATCCTTTGATCAGCTTTCTCAGACAGGAAAAGTGAAAACGATAGGATCACCCTCACTCAGCCAATCAGCTCTCAGCCCAAAACCTCAGTTAGTGACTCAAAGGCCTCTCTCTTTCTACCTGGCAAAATTTATATCTTATTTTAAATGGGATGCAGACAGTTTTTTGTACAGCAATTACTTTAACAAAGCTCGTTCTGTTGGGACTAACAACACGTGTTATTGAAGCAGAATCAAAGTTCTTGGACAGAAACATGAAACATACAGGGTTTTCTCAGTCTGAGTATGTTCCAAATGCACGTTATTGGTGTCTGCATAAACCTAAAGCCGTGTAATTTCCGTCTAATATTTACTGAGTTATTGAGGGTGAGATACGACTTCTTTTTTTGGGTCGAAAACAAAAACTTACATTTTAAACTATGGACATACACTAATGAATGATTGCCTTTATTAGTCCCGCAATGGGGAAATGACTAGTGCAAAGTTTGAGGCAATAAAAGGTTTTAGCCGTTCTTTGCTAAGGCCTCAATAGCCACTGAAGGGTAGAAACTAAATATATATATATAAATATATTTATATACGTATAAATAATCCTGTAACCAATTAGAACTAATGCCAGAATGTGCAAAAGGGACCCACCTGTGTCCACTGTCACTTACTTAACTACTTACTTGGTCCATACCAGCATGCTGCTAATATGTACCGATAAATACATACAGCTTCACATTTATTGCACTTGGGTATACAATATTTTATTACTGCTTCTTTTTTATGCACTAAAGATAGAGACTTTATACATACAGTACTTCTTATAGGCAAGAAGTCAGAGATGTTATACTTAATTCTTGCTTCTTCATTCTTGCTTCTTTTCTATGCTATGTTAAAGATTTTTTTTTTTTTAATATAGCGTTATTGTTTATTTATCTTGTGTTGTGTGCTCATCATTCCTATTGTTCTAAAACCGGCGATGCAACACTGAAATTTCCCTACTGTGGGACAAATCAAGGATCTTTATCTTAATCTTGATTTTACACGCCACTCAGTTCCATCATTTTGAGCTCCTTGTCCTGGGCCAGAGATACAGACGTCCCTAAGAAAAAACATAAACACATTATTTCAAAAGTTTTTATTTCTGTCAATATTTTAACCACAGTATCAATCAATCCCTCCTCAGATCTCCACAACAACGCCGCCACTCCCACGCTGCCCAAGTCCTTCATGTCGGGCTCGTCCTCCCGAATGGCTCGCTCCGTCCTGGACTACTCCGAGGAGGAGGCTGCTCCCGCGCCCTGCCAGAGACACCCCCTCTACGTGGACTTCGAGGAGATCGGCTGGTCTGGCTGGATCATCTCTCCTCGCGGCTACAACGCCTACCACTGCAGAGGCTCCTGTCCCTTCCCCTTGGGCCAGAACATGCGCGCCACCAACCACGCCACGGTCCAGTCCATCATCAACGCGCTCAAGTTGCTGAAGGGAGTGGACACGCCGTGCTGTGTGCCCGACAAGCTCTTCTCCATCAACCTGCTTTACTTTGACGACGACGAAAACGTGGTCCTCAAACAGTACAACGACATGGTGGCCGGCAGCTGTGGGTGCCATTAACAGTGTCGTGTGCAAAAAAAAACATTATTTTTTGGGGGGGGGGGCTTTTGTATCATATGTAAATAACTATAAATTATAATATATGGCGTTGCTGGAAGGGCTGTTATGAGATGTAAATATGTATAGTTTATGACCACTAAGAGACTGAATTCTAGTATTGTGTGTTATAGATGATGTTTTGAATTTTATTTCTAATTTAAGTGGTTCAAATGTGCAAAGTTTGTGCATGTAAATGACTAAATAAATCAGTGTATATGTAGTTTTTGTTATTATTGTCATTGGGTCTTTGTTACAGCTTGAATAATAGCCAATGATTGACTCTGAAAGGTGACATTAGCAACTTAAATTGTATTTCATTTAAAAAACATTAGACATTTCTGATCATGGAGCACAGTACTAACATGACCAGTAAGTATTTTTAAACTATCATATATTGTAAACAGTCCCTCCCCTTGGCTATGACCAGAAAGATTGGCTGGAGGAGGTGAATAGTTATAGCAATGACAAGGGCCCTAAAGGATTTGAAAGAATTTTGACCAATCAGGTGGCTGCATGGATGAGCAAAGGCGGGTCTAACCAGTGCTTGTCTTAATAGGATATGCAAACTGTAATTGACCAAAAAAGAGGCACAGATTGAAGTCTGCATATGACTCAGCTTCAGTTATAACTCCACAATGGTATAAAATAATTAAGATATGATCAAATAACACACTCCTTTATTGTCTCCCAAACCACATACATTTGCATATACCACAGTAGACATGAAACTTTAATTTTATTATTATTTATGATTTTAGTCCCATCTGTGATTTTAATGTTTAAAGGTTTTTAATTTTTGTGATTTTATTTTTAATGTTTTTAATATATCTTGTGCTCTTAATGTGTTTGATTTATGCATGATGTGATAGGGGATGTGAAGCGCTTTGCGTTGCCTTGTGTAGGAAAGGCGCTCTACAAATAAACGTTGATTGATTGATTGATTGATTGAAACTTTAAATGTTATAAATACTCAGCCAGCAGAACCACAGACTGAACTGTGGTCTTAAGAATCTCTTAATCTTAATCAGACTGGACTGGTCAGCTCAGGCTGTCTACAAGAAAGGTCAGAGCAGACTTCTTCCTGAGAAGACTGAGGTCCTTCGATGTGAGCAGTCATATGTTGCACATATTTTACCAGTCTGTGTTAGCAAGTGCCGTGTTCTTTGGGGTCGCGTGTTGGGGGCAGGAAATATGTCTCTGTGATGATGAGAAGTGTGGACTCTGGGAGCAGTGCTGGGGAGAAGGATGAGGGCTCTAATGCAGGGCATCCTGGGTAACTCCAGACACTCTCTGCATGACACTATGGCCTATATCGCGAAGCGGGCCCTGGCACACTTTAACCGGGCTTTAGGCTGCACAGCTGGCTGGGGGGGTGGGTAGGGAGGACAGAAACAGTTGTTCTAAACTAAAATGACCTGGAACAAGCAGTGACCTTGTGGCCTTGATCTCTCACTCAGCAGAATTCTGGGGACAGATTCAGATTCATTTATTTGCCATTTGCAGTAAAAACCACATCGGAATACATTAGCAAAAGTCCCCAGTGTGCACAAGACAAGTACATAAAACAACATTAAAACTACAGAAATAAAACAAATAAACAGTAAAAAATTGTCACTGTGAAATCGATCGGCTAAAACAGTTTCAATACGAGTGCAAGATTATTAAAGTGCTCTGTTTAAACTGATGACAGCTTGTGGGAAGAAGCTGTTAGCATATCGAAATGTCCTGCATCTCAGCGAACGATCTCTTCTGCCAGAAGCAAGAAACTGGAACAAGGCTTTTCCAGGATGTTTTTTAGTGCCAAAAACAAATGTAAATGTTCTCTTTTCTCATCAAAAACCAATCAAGCGAAATCAAAAAAGCGTCAAACTTCAAAAATCAATGAAATATAAAGGTATGCATTATGAATGTATTAACAAAGCCATTTTCCCATTCTATGTTCACTGTTGCTATGGCAAACGTTTCCATGGCAACCAGAATGCGGTCTTTGTGACATCATCAGCAGAGCATGCAGAGATTAGGTGACCACAGAGATTGTCTGTATCCACATAAGAAGACACAAGTCTTTCACTTCAACACACACAGACGACACAGAGCCACAGGCAAACTCACAGCAGAGGACAGAGAAAAATAATCTTTTAAAGTATCAAGATGGGCAAAAACTCTAAAAAGAGAAGAAACCAGAAATTGTCTCCCAGCATGGCAGACAGATCCTATTTGGCAAATCATGAGCTGGATGCAAAATCCACAAATTCTGACTTTGAATCTGCAAAACCAGCTGATTCTGAAACAAAAGAGAGTAAGTATGATGCAGGAAAGGACATTTGGTATAAAAGGCCGACTCAGCAGAACAAGGAGGCTCCAGTAACACAGGCCTTGACACCAATTCCTGAGACTGAAGTTGTTGACTCTTCAAGTGATCTTCCAACTCCTCAAGGTAAAAACAGGAGGAAAAAGGAAACTGTAAGGTTACAAAGTCTTCTCATTCAAATGGAGCCAAGCAGAAGAGAGACTCTGACCAATGACGAGGCAGCTCAGAAACCTTCAACTTCTGGGTCTGAAGTAACAAAACCAAGTGTTCGCTTCTATGCTGAAATCCCCGATGAGTCAGAGGGCTTTAATAGGCCTTCAGTGAGACCTAGAAAGACAAGTTCGATAAAGGCATTAGATCGCTTCTACTCCAGTATGTCAGATGAAGAGCTAGATATTGATTATTATTGTAAGCCTTTGAAAAACTATGCTGACAAAGCAACAAATGTTCGGACAGCTCCCAAACCAAACCCTTTGTCAATGAAGACGACTTCTCCTTCCAACATTGAGCAGGTCAAGGAGGCACCAGTCCTTGACAAAAAACCTCAAGAAGATCCAATGAATATTGAGCAGACCTACCCTGCTTACGGAAACAACAGGGAATATGAAAATGCTTCAAAGGTTTCTGAGCCAACCAATCACCCTGCTTATTTCAAGAAAAGTTACAGTCAAGCTGTATCCACTCCCAGCCGCCTGGTCACAAAAGAAAAATGTGATCCAAAGCCTCTGCAGAAGACAGGTCCTTCTGCAAGCTCAATGCCTGAATTGAGGGATGATGAGAAGGCAAGTGAGGAAGTCTGGAGTAGGCCTCAAAGTAGCAAAATGGGAAAAAACTCTAAAAAGAGAAGTAACCAGAAATTATCTCCCAGTGTGGCAGACAGACCATATGTGACAAATCATGAGCTGGCAGTAAAAGCTGCAAATTATGACTCTGAATCTGCAAAACCAGTTGATTCTGAAACAAAAGAGAGTAAGTATGATGCAGGAAAGGACATTTGGTATAAAAGGCCGACTCAGCAGAACAAGGAGGCTCCAGTAACACAGGCCTTGACACCAATTCCTGAGACTGAGGTGGTTGACTCTTCAAGTGAGATTCCAACTCCTAAAGGTAAAAACAGGAGGACAAAGGAAACTGTACGGTTACAAAGTCTTCTCATTCAAATGGAGCCAAGCAGAAGAGACACTCTGACCAATGCCGAGGCAGCTCAGAAACCTTTAACTTCTGGGCCTGAAGTCTCAAAACCAAGTGTTCACTTCTATGCCGATATCCCGGATGAGTCAGAGGGGTTTAATGGGCCTTCAGTGAGACCTAAAAAGACAAGTTCGATAAAGGAATTAGATCGCTTCTTCTCCAGTATGTCAGATGAAGAGCTAGATATTGATTATTATTGTAGGCCTTTGAAAAATTACCCTAATGAGAAAGTAACAAATGTTCAGACAGCTACTCAATCTCAGGCTCCAACACCAAAGCCTTTGCCAATGAAGACAACTGCCCCTTCCAACACTGAGCAGGTCAAGGAGGCACATGTCTTTGACAAAAAACCTCAAGAAGACCCAAGGAATATTGAGCAGACCCGCCCTGCTTACAGGAACAACAGGGGATGTGAAAATGCTTCAAAGGTTTCTGAGCCAACCAATCACCCTGCTTATTTCAAGAAAAGTTACAGTCAAGCCGTATCCACTCCCAGCTGCCTGGTCACAAAAGAAAAATGTGATCCAAAGCCTCTGCAGGAGACAAGTCCTTCTGCAAGCTCAATGCCGGAATTGAGGTATTACGAGGAGGCAAGAGAGGAATTCTGGAAAAGGCCTCTGGAATTTTATTCAACAAGTCTAACAAACATGGAAAATTGGAAAGCCTCGGTTGAAACACTGGAGGTACATTTTGGACCGTCCACATCCAACAACAAGGCAGTGGAAGTGACTGGTCATTCTATAATGGCTGACGATGAATTTGAGGATTTTGATGAGACTTTTATTAGACCTTTAGAGTTTTACAAAACAGGCATGTCCAGACTGGACATGAGTGCCACCTACCACACCTCCAACTGGAAATGTGCTATATAAGGACCGCTATCTCCGGTCTGATACTGTGATGCCATCAGCAGAACATACACTTTACATAGATTTACAGAGAGTTACAGGCAAATTCAAACCACCCACCGAGAAAAACAATCTTTCAAAGCAGCAAGATGGGAAAAAACTCGAAAAAGAGAAAATATCAGAAATTATCTCCCAGTCTAATCACCAATTTTGGCATAAAAGTTCAGGTAGACCGACTGAGTAGTCGGTATAACTGGCCATTTTGGCATACAAGGCCAGGTACACCGACTGAGTAGTCGGTATAACTGGCAATTTGTTGCCTTACCACCAACTTTGGCACAAAAGGCCAGGTACACCGACTGAGCAGTCAGTATAACTGGCCATTTGTGGAAAGCAACACATGTTCGGACAGCTACAATATCCCAGGCAACAAGCCTCTACCCATGAAGGGAATTTCTCCTTCAAACACTGAAACGGTCAAGGTGGCTCCAGTATTTGACAATAAACTTTAAGAGAGCAAGGAGGGTCCATTAACACAGGCCTTATCGCCAATCCCTGACAGTGCAATCGTGTTATAAAAGAACCACTGTATCCATTCTGATCCCCAGAGG